TAGCACAGAAACAGTACTATATAACATTTTAGACACATTCTAGACAGTTTATCAGCTAAAAAAAGTTAATTTTGGGGTAAGTTACTCTTTAAAGTTATCCTTTTGTAAAACAAAAATGCTTTAGAGTTTAACTTAACATCACATATGTCTTTATAAAGGAACCAGTCACAATTTGTGCACACTCGCTCACCTACTGAAAAGGATCCAAGTTCATTTTTACTTGTGTTTAGGCACAGCCCCCATGTGTTTACAGTGCTTTATTAAAAATGGACAAAGTTTTCTGCACACATTGCACCAAAATCATGGCTAAACTCACGCCTCACTTTTACTGATGTGGTTGAATGTTGAAGAGTTTGCAGGCGTGTCTGACTCGCTCAGCTTGTTCTCCTGTTTCTGATGCAAGTCAGACAGGAAGTGGTCATCACGTTTTCTTCCATGTCATGTGGTGACAGAACTTACAGAAAAGTTGTTCTCCTGATTCAGAAAAAATCACTTGTTTTGCCCTAAACTTTTCGCTAAGCTTTGCATTTTTTGATCTGGAGGACATTGGTGTTTAAATGAGCCTCTTCACCACGGCTGACTTTTTTTTCTGTCTTGAGAGGAAGCGAATTCCATGAGATTCCACGTTTTATACTGGATTCCATTTTATTTAGTAAATTCTGTTAGAAAAAGAATGTTGGATTACTTTGTAAACCCTGATTCTTTGGTTCTATAATAAGCAGGGTGTGGTTAACATTGAGCACTGCTTGATTGCTCTGTTTCAGACAGACGTGATGTCAGTGCAGCTTCTGTAGTTGGTCACATGGGAGCAGTGAAACGCTGCACCATGTTAATAAAACCAGGGCTTACATTAAGTCATCCAGTAATCCAATGTTTTGGTTTGTTTTCTGCAGGACCTTCAGGACGAGGTGGCGAAAGAGAGCGAGGAGCTGCAGCGACTCCAGTTGCAGCGTCAGAAAGTCCAGGAGGCTTTAGGCGAGCTGGACCAGCAGAAGAACTCCTTGGAGGAGCAGCTCAACCACATCCGACAGCAGACTAACCAAGAGACTCAACTTGTATGTTTTTTTTTCTTTTTCTTTTCTTTAATGATTAAATTTGAATTAAACAACTAAAAACTAGAGTTGAAAATTTGAAGCTACGCAGCTGAAAACAAACACACTTGTGCATTTCTAGATCACGTCTCTGCAGTCGGAGCACGAGGAGCAGGAGCAGAGGATATGTCAGTACGAGGAGGAGCTCGTCCAGGCTCGAGAGGAGCTTCTGGCTCTGCAGGAGGAGAGCCGGAGGCTGCAGGAGACGGTCCAGGCTGCTCAGGAGCAACTCACTCCACTTCAGGAGTCTGTGCGTGACTCCTTCACACAAGTGTCGCAGGTCAGGAACTCATCAGGGTTTCTTATGTCAACACAAACTATAAGTAAAATCAGTGATAACAAAAATACTACACATCTTTGTTGCCAAGACACTTTCTTCAAGAAAAGAGTTTGTTCAGCTTTTTCTTTTTATTTGTTCTATTTTCTCATGTTCTTTCTGTGCTTAAGGTTCAACAGAAAGTCAAAGACCTGAAGGTGGAGGAGAGGTCGGTGACTGCTCAGCTCAGCTGGAAGAGAGCTCTCGAGGACAGCTCTCCTGTCATGGTGAACGGATCGTCAGGCCCCGCAGCTGAACTGGACCTCTTCAACGAGGACCAGCAGAAAGAGTTGAAGGAGGACGAGCCAGCCGCTGCCTGCAGTCAGCAGAAAGAACACTCAGATACAAAGGAGAAAGAAGGAAAAGAAGTGAAGGAAGAGGAGAGCTTAAAGACTCTGGAGGAGGAAAAGCAGAAACCTGATGCCTTTGAAGCTCTCTATAATAGTTTTACCTCAGCGGATTTGTACAACTGTTTGTCGAAGCCTCAAGAGAGCAGTGTTGGGGTAATAAATATACTCAAAAAATCAATTCCATTCATTTAAGTCACTGTGAAGCCTACTCTAGACCTGACTGTTGAAATGTGCAAGAACAGTAAAACTAGTTGTGACAGTGCTTATCAAGCATTCGCACTGACATCTGTTTTTCTTCTGCAAGTTTTTCGGCACGTATCTCGTTGCACAATTTTCCTGCTATTTCAACAGGTTATATATTAAAACATTCAGCTCCTTTAGGACATTTTGGCTATGAGTTTTGGTACTTCAGCCATTTGCACTTTTTGAGATATTTAGCTTTTTCTGCCATTTCTTTTTAATTGCAAATGGAGCTGTCTTCAACATCCTCGAAAACCTTCAAAGCGTTCATAAATATTTTCTGCACCTTTTGTTCTGGTTCTGCTTTTCTTTCTGCTTTCTACTAATTTCATCCCTCTTTCGGCTTCTGTTTAGTTGATTTTAGGTTGTTTTTTTTTCCTGCTTTTTAGCCATCATTGACTTTTTTCGCTATAGTTCCTTTTTGTTAATTTTAGATGTTTTTTATGCTTTTAGCTACTTTTCAACTAATTTGAGCTTTTTTCAGCTAATTTCACCTTTTTGTGATAATTTCAGCTTCTTATTGCTTAATTCAGCAAATGAGCTCTTTCTGTTTCTTTGTGCTGATTTCAACTATTTCAGCTACTTTTAGGCAAGTTTAATTTTTTTAACTATTCTTTAAAAATCTTTCAGCATTAAATGTTCACCCTGCATTCTCTAGTTTATGTTTGGTGTGGTTAGGGTTCAGTCTGGAAAATAAAATAAAAAATCTCTGTCTTACAGTAACAAATGTCATCGCTGTGTTTTCTCTGAACTCCTCAGGATATCGCGATTACTCCTGAACTCTCCTCTGAGAACATCGATGACGAAGATGAATCCCCTAAAGACTCCCCACTAAAGGTAAAGTTTCAAATTATTGAACTTTTCCTGGGTTTATCACAACATTAGTGATCACTGTCTTATTTTATATTTTATCAGTCTTTCAATTCTGGTCCTATATTATATCAACTTAGTCATATATTACAAGCTTCTTTTACAAGCCGTTTGGGTCTGGGGACCCCCTGCAAGGGCGAAAAAAATTCCAGGGACTCCCTCATAAACCCCATGCTGTTTTAAAAGATAATTTATTGTCATTTCAACCCCTAAATGCCATGGGAATACAGTATATATTTTTATTAAGTCTGTTTGTTTTATTAGTTCATTGTTCTCCATGCATTTTTAAAAATAAAAACCAAATTAACAAGGGAAATTTTTTGAGGACCCCCAAGATACCTCTCGCAGACCCCTGGGGGTCCTGGGACCCCAGTTTGAGAATCTCTGCACTACAGCATCGTTATGTTTTCAGAGATGTAAATCTGACTCTCAGCATCTGAGAGAGAACATCTCATAGCATCTGGTTTCCCAACAGGTTGACTCCCCAGAGCCAGAGAGCAAAGCAGAGCCTACAGAAACAACCAGCTCCTCGACGCCTCCTCCACTCGAGCCTCGCTCCTTACCACCGCAGACGAGCCCCCCCTCCCTACCTGAGATGAACTTCTTCCATTCAGACCCTTTTACTGATCGTAAGTGCTCACGATGAAGTCAAGTTTTAAGAAGTCAGTATGCTCCATCCAAACTGCCCAAATCGGCTCTCCTTGTTGCAATTACATGACGAAAATTGCGTCATTTAGTTTGCAGCTTCGAGTGCTCCGCCCCTTCTTGTCCTCAATGTGTTCGGAGCATCGTAATTATACAGACCTGTGAAACCTGCGCGTCTGACAGAGAACAGGGTTCCTGCAGATCCTTAAAAAGTCTTAAAAGGCATTGAATTCATCAATCCAAAAATAAGGCCTTAAAATAGGATGACTGTAATTTGTCTCAAATACTAAAATAATTGGTAACATTTATTTATTTAAATATTTACATGCAGACAGTCCCCTTTGACATCACTTCCTGTTACTTAGATGCAAATATCTCAACAACTGTCCACCTGAGCGACGTGAAATTTGTTTTGTAATATGTTCATAATGTTGTCTTTCCAAAAATGCATTCGCTTTTCTTACAAAAACTTGATGTCACAGACACTTTAAGGTTTCATTTACAGAAAATCGGGGTTAAGACCCCACTGTGGGTCCTAAAACTCCACATTTTGGGTCGTTAAACCGACTGCTAAGAATGTTTTAGCTATGTTTGATGAAAAAGCAGTTAAAAATGGATAAACACAATTATCCATATATACATGTCTATTAGCAATATTTGAATA